TGTGTGTGTGTGTGTGTGTGTGTGTGTGTGTGTGTGTGTGTGTGTGTGTGTGTGTGTGTGTGCGTCTGTCAGGTGTGGCTGCCAACTGTGCTTCAGCTTTAGCCCAGATGGCTGCAGCCTCCTGTGTGCAGGAAGAGAAGGAGGAGAAGGAGGTGGGGGAGACGGGAGACGCTATCGCGCAAGGTATTTTCACAGAAACACAAACACACACTTGTTCGGACGTTTGCATGTAACAGACACACAAAAACCTTAAATTTGAATCAAGCTCATCGTCGTCACACACAATCAAGGGGTAAAACCTCAAATTAGTGCTAATTTGTGTTTTCCTAGTTATAAAACCCAGATAAAGGAAATCTTGACCGTTCACAATCATACATACAAAGAACCCACAGTAAACACATTTGTACACTTAATAAGGCCCCACTTATATCTCAACATGAGATATTGAGACTTGTATTAATATTTATTTATTACTTGTATTATTATTTCCTTAAGTACCTTTAACTGAGTATTTTCCATCTTCTGTTTTTGCTTTTGTCTCTTTTTAAAAAAAAGTTATTATTATAAACTTTTTACACTATAAGCAGAAACATTCTGGGCCACCTTGACCTGCAGGAGCTGCTCGGCATGGAAACCCATGCCGTGACGCTCCCAGCACAGAGGAGCTTGGAAGCTGCTGTGTGCCTCAGCACTTCTGCTCTGTAACTTGATGCGTCCTGACCTCCCGGCTGAGCAGCAGGTCAGGACCGTTGATTGTGGAATATCACGGAAGGAAGAACTGACTTGCTGCAGCGGCGGCGTCCAGTTACAGAACCAGGCTGGAGTTCAGTCAGATCTTCAGAACGACCTCTTCTTTCACAAACGTTTGCAAAGACCGACTGCGTGGCTAGGTGCTTAATGTTATGTACCTGTGCCGATGGGAGTAAAAAGCACCCCCCCTTTTCCTTCACTAAACCTTGTGTCCTTGACCTTGATGAAATTGTCATGAGTTCAAGGAAAAGAGGGTGTTAGGAATATTGATAAGGGCTCGAGAAAAGAACTGTGTGCTGAGAATCTGAATGACCTGACACTAACCTGCTTAACATGCTGTACTGAAACTACAGTGTGTAAATATGGACTACAAAACATCGTACGTACTGCACCTTGCTTTGCTAACAGTACGCAGCAGCTGGATTTGCTAAGGAGCTCACGGTGACTGAACGTCACAGTCTTGGGTATTTTTCCAGGTGGCCTTGTGGCGTATACATTTGTAGGAGCTTCCCTTTCAAGAAGAAAATATTTAAATGAGTAACATAGACATGATTTACAAAGTCTGAGGCATACACTTTACTGCAAAATGCTCAACATTTCTTTGCCAAAAACAAAGCTTATGTCTGTTGTGGTTGTGATCGGTGCTTCCAGGAGCGTTTATCTGTTTGGAATAACGGGCCAATTCCTTTTTTCGGCCACAGCCTAAACTTGGAATCATTTCTACTGGAGACAAAAGCAATGATAAAAACAAGATATGGGAACTAGTGACATCTAGTGACAGCTGCTACAAACTGCTGGCAGCATTTACTGGGATGCAACATTAATGTTTATATATTTCCACAACCTGAGAGTCAGTTTTGTTAAAGCTCATCTCAAATCAGTTCAAGCACAATGTTCAGGGCGTCTGTGATATTTAAAATACACTTTACTGTGTGTGTGTGTGTGTGTGTGTGTGTGTGTGTGTGTGTGTGTGTGTGTGTGTGTGTCCAGTGAAACAGCGTGTTGAGCAGCGTCTGGAGCAGATCGGCCGTCCTCAGGGAGTTCGCCTCCACACAGCTCATGTGTTGTGCATGGACGCCATCCTGAACGTTGGCCTGGAGATGGGCAGCCACAACCATGACTGCTGGCCTCATGTGTTCAGGTACGTTTGTTTATCCTGTAAAATATACTTCATATATCATATATATCAAGCTCGGAAACGTAGTATGTGAAGCTATAGTGGTTCATAAGGGATGAAACTTCAAAAATATGTTCTAGAACTTCAAATCACTTTCAGGGTGACCGAGTACATCAGCTCACTGGAGCACACCCACTTCAGTGACGGCTCTGCCCAGCCGTCCTCTCTGACCACAATCACCCAGCAGAGCCAGCAAATGGCTGGCATCGACCTCGGGCTGGAGTTGAGCTGCGAACCCAGCCCCGAGGCCTCGGACCTGAGCCTGAGCCAGCCGGTCATCCAGCCGCTTTCCATCCAGGAGCTGCTGAAGGAGAGCGGCAGAGGGGGCCGAGGCCTGGACCTGAAGAGCGGCAGCCTGATGACCGGCACCAGCGCCGCCAAGGCCGTGTGCACGCTGTCAACACAGGCCGACAGGTAGAGACTGAACAAATACCACAGCAACATGATAGACTGGATGGCAATCCAGACACTTTCTACATGTGATGTTGCAGGTGTTGCACCAGTGCTGTCAGTTGTGTTTTGATTTTGTTTTATTAAAACCCAATAACTGCACGTGCTCCAAGTTTAAGAAACAGTAAATGAGAAATTCAGCGATTAGATTTCCTTTGACAGTCGGATCAGAGTGGCCCCTGTGGTGGTAGTCATTATTTCAGAGTCGCTGCACTGAGGTGCAACTTCAGAGACTTGGATACTGAGTTGCTTTATGTTTTTTATATCTTTTTCATTTTATAGGTATTGACAAGAGGAAATAAAGTAATGTACGCGATGAAAGGCAAAACAAGAGAATTATGTGGTGCAATATTCATTTTATCTCTATTATTTAATTTTAATTATTGTTAGAAATTAAACTATGATGAACTGCGCAGCCATAACTAATAAGGCTGACCTCTAAAAGCTTGGCCATAATGTCACCACGGGCAACAAGACGGTGGAAATAGAAGCAGACTAACAAGTTTCACAGTGGGTTTAGTTTCTAACTGAAGTGCAGCAGCTGTGTTAGCACCGTGTCCATTAACAGCCAGCATGACCGAGGCTCTTAATGACTTTATCTTCCAAATCCACGTTTCACCGACATTTGGTGCTCAGCAAGTGTTCCCGAGGTTGGTTTTATAGCCAAAAGATGGCAGTAGTGGAGCTACTGCTGTGTGTGTGTGTGTGTGTGTGTGTGTGTGTGTGTGTGTGTGTGTGTGTGTGTGTGTGTGTGTGTGTGTGTGTGTGCTATGACACACTTTCTTTGATGAGTCATTTGGTATTTGGACCCTAAATGTAAAAGTGAGAACATTGTTTTGTGCTTGTTGTTACTGGACCGACACTCAGGATTAGAGTGAGACTGATGTCCTCACACGTGTACAAACATGTATGCATATGTGCGCGTGCCACTTGTTACGGCTCGCACACGGCCGCAGTAACTGTGGACTTGTTTGCGTGTTCATTCCAAGGATCATCTCTTACATAACCAGTTATCTGGGCTGCTTTTAGGAGCGTATATTAAAAAAAAATTCCCCCTGATCTTTTGGAACAGATGGACTGAACACATTTACAAGCTCAAAGTGGCGACAACCATAGTAAATACTGCTGCACAGGGCTGGCCTATATGTGCTTAGAGGGCAGTGAACAGGGAGGCTTTGCAAGTATTTCAGTGTAGGATGTAAACTTGCATGGCAGCGTTGCTTTTGCACTGTAGACGTTCATGTGAGTGTATGAAATGCTTTCTGTGTGTTTCAGGTTATTTGAAGAAGGGGCCACCAAACTAAACCTGGTTGGTCTGGTTGGTTTCCTGCAGCAGCTCAGAAAAGCTTCTCAGTCTCAGCTGTTTGACTCTCCCACCGAGACTGGAGACTATTCACTGGCAATGCCAGGTACACACTTTGCATTCATTTAGTGCACATTATATTGACTGGCTGACTTTACTCTGACATCAAAACACACACACACACACATAATGCTTCAGTAAATGCATGTGAGCACTCTGGGCAAAAGGCCCCACCCCACCCCTTACTCCATGCATGGGCTGACCATAGACTGTATAAAAAAGATGGACATACTCAAGGAGATGCCACCAATTGGTTTTGGGCTCTACGTTCTGAAACGTGACGAGCTGCCGTCACGTAGTATCTGGATAAAAGGCTGGGATGCTAAGCTATCAGCCAATAATTGCATTAGATTGGTTAGCAAGCTGCATCCATAAAGTGTACAGGTGCATCACACAGACACAAATACCTGCTCACTGATTAAAGTAACAGATTTAAAAAAATCATTATTACATTTTAATCATCAAACTGGAGTTTTTTGGATGGGCTGCGTGAGAGCAATTATTCTTTGTCAGATATTTGCATTCAGAAATCTTTCAGAAGGTGCAGATGAGTGACCCAGTGAAACTCGTTCAACAGTCGAAACTGTGTTTGCTTTAATAGCAGGTGAAATTGGCCAAGTTAAAAACTGGCTTCTCTTCACAAAGATTTTGGCTTCACTTCAACACAAATAAACCACAGACATCCATTTTTATTTAATAGCTACATTTTCTGCTTTTATTAAACACACCTAAAACAAATTCTGTTACATTTATTTAATTATTGACACACTTTTTTCAGACACACAAAAGAAAATTATCCAAAAAACCCCATAGAATTTGCATCCTTTAAACATCCTCGGTCCCTTCCTGTGCCCTTCTCGATCTCAGGCCTTGGCCACTGACCCAAGGGTCTGCATAGTTGTGAACCATGCTGGGCATACCTTGTTCTCTTTCTTAATTAGTTTCCCTCGTGTGGTTAATTAAAGATGAAGTACAGACAGGAGTAAAGCTCCGAGGCCTTTTTTGTGTCCTCTGCGTGTCTGTAGGAGAAGCCAAGTCAACGTTGGACCGGCGCAGCGCCCTCCATCTCTTTCGTCTGGGTGAGGCCATGCTGCGAATCGTCCGGAATAAGAACCGACCCCTTCTCCACATGATGAGGGCCTGGAGCGTGGTGGCGCCTCATCTGGTGGAGGTAGGATATTACCACCTTGTAAACAGTGTTTTATTTCTCTCCTTCTGTTAACTTCTCAACCTCTCAGTTGCGCAGTTGTGTAACTACAGAAGTTCTAATTGCTGCTCTCACACGAGTTGGAACTACAGACAAAGTCAACGTGTTTAAAAGACAAACAAAGCCAACAGTTTATCCATTCTGCCACATGTGAAATATGGGTTAATCAATCTTCTCCTTTTATGGAGATTTACTTCACAGCAGCAGCATCGCAGTAGTTCAGGCAGGTCTCAGTCTTCTGAGTTTGGGTCTTACTGCACCTCAGGCTGCCTACATGCCTGCCTATGTATCTCCAAGCCACTTTGCAACCCACCTCCAGCCCAGCTCCTCCTTTTAAGACAGGGGTCTCGAACTCCAGGCCTTAAAAGCCGGTGTCCTGCAGGTTTTAGATCTCACCCTGGGTCAACACACCTGAATCAAGTGATTAGTTCATTACCAGGCCTCTGGAGAACTCAAGACATGTTGAGGAGGTCATTTAGCCATTTAAATCAGCTGTGTTGGATCAAAGACACATCTAAAACCTGCAGGACACTGGCCCTCGAGGCCTGGAGTTCAAGACCCCTGTTTAAAGGTGTCTCTAACCTGATCAGTGTCAAATCTGTTATCACTAATGTCTGCTTGTTCCGTGCTGTGTCTTACTGCTGCTGTTATTCTTTCTATGTCTGCACATGGAAGAGTGAAGGGCTCCCACAAAACTGTGACTGCACACAGAAATGAATCTTCTTTGGATTGTAGCGGCTAGGAAATGAAGTTGTGTAACATCTGTGTAGACCACCTTCTGTCTCGCACAGTGGTTTTCCTTTTTTTTAGCTCGGTACACTTCAGGCACTGAGAGAATAAAAGCTTTGATCTGAGGCTCTTTAAACACAAAGTTTTTGTCGTCATCACAGGCTGCGTGTCACAAAGAGCGCCACGTATCCCAGAAGGCCGTTTCCTTTATCCACGATGTTCTCACAGAGGTGCTGACGAGCTGGGCGGAGCTTCCACACTTCCACTTTAACGAGGCACTGTTCAGGCCTTTCGAGCACATCATGCAGCTGGAGCTCTGCGACGAGGACGTTCAGGACCAGGTGGAGTCGGATCTCAGTTCCTCAAAACAACCAAACCAGCCAGCGTTGTTCCGGGCTGTGCGTTCAGTTTGCCAAACAGTTTTTCTCGGGTTTGTCTCCCTGCAGGTAATAACATCGATTGGAGAGCTGGTGGAGATGTGCTCTCCTCAGATCCTGTCAGGGTGGAGGCCTCTGTTCAGCGCCCTCAGGACGGTGCACGGTAGCAAGACTGACACCAAAGACTACCTGCTGGGAGAATACTCCATGGGTATGTCTAACAAACTTTTTTCCAAAGTTTATCAGCAGAAAGATTTTTACTGTAAATCTGAGTTTCCTGCTCTCGTCTTATTGTCTTCCTGCAGGGAAGTCTCAGGCGCCGGTGTTCGACGTCTTTGAGGCGTTCATAAACACCGACAACATCCAAGTTTTTGCCAACGCTGCCACAGACTACATCATGTGTCTCATGAAGTTTGTCAAAGGATTAGGTTTGTCTCACTAATGTGTGCGTGCTATTTTTCATTTCAAGATATTACTTTTCAAGCCTTTTGGGATTTTACTTTTCCCGGGATCAGGCTATGTATTTATCTCTTTATTAGAAGCTCATAACATGCAAGTACATTTTGTATTTATGTCACAGTTTAATACATCAGGAGAGCGGATTTATGCATCTGCAGATGCTGAGTGCTTCAGTTTTCTGCAGACATTTATTTTGATATGTGCTATTATTATTTCTTTTATTTATCAAAAAAGGCCAAATGCACAAATGCACGGGAAGTACTCGTGCATAAATATGTTCCTGTACATCATTAAAATGTTTTACAAAAAAGCACCAAGAGGACACACAAGACACAAACGCTACTTTTTTGTTTTTAAAATCCCAGTTATTCATAATTCCTAAACAATGACTGGGAAGCAATTTTTCTTTTAGAAAGATACTTCATGGTTTTTAGAAAAATCGTCACCATCAAAAGCTTTAAAACCTCACAGAAGGAGAAAGGAGCAAACACGGTGCTGATGACAGTGAGTGGGAGGCGAGCAGCGAGTCAGTGACAAAAACAAGAAAACAGCACCGCAGAAAAAGCGATCCTGTGTTTCTCAGAGACACGTTCTCTCTGAATGACTCGAAACAACTACAGTGTCATCCAAGTGTTTTTTAAAGCTGACCTTTCAAACTCCGGAGAACTTTTATGCTTTTCCGTGCAGGAGAGGTGGACTACAAAGAGATTGGCGACTGCGTTCACGCGTCAGGTTACAGCTCCACAGACCTCTGCCTGCCTGCTCTCGACTACCTCCGCAAATGCTCGCAGGTGGAAGCTCCACAGATATAAAGTGAGAGCATATTTTTAAGATTTTTCGCTATTATAAAAAAGAAACCGTGTTTTGCATTTGATTGACAGCTGCTGGCAAAGATTTACAAGATGCCGTCTAAGCCGGTGTTCCTGGGTGCGCGGCTCGCCAGCCTGCCGATGAGATCGCAGGAACGCTCGATCAGCAGCGAGGACGGCATGGACTGTGTCCTCCAGGAGTTCGATGACGACACAGGTTTCGCTTTGCTCCTCTCTGTGCTTCACGGTCTTTGTCTAAGAATCCTCCTCCTTTCTCTCTCGTCAGCGCATTTTTGTTGTCTCATGTCCTGCAGGTCTGATCCAGGTGTGGATTTTGTTACTGGAGCAGCTCACTGCAGCCGTGTCAAACTGCCCTCGACAGCACCAGCCTCCAACGCTGGAGCTGCTCTTCACTTTGCTCAGAGAAGTCACCGCAGTGCCAGGTGATAAACTTAAACACAATCCAAAGAAGAAGAAGACAAAACCTACAAACAGCCGGGATGTAACCTGATCTCGCCTCTCCAGGTCCAGGGTTTGGCATCTTCGCTGTCATCCAGCTGCTGCTTCCTGTGATGTCACTGTGGCTGCAGCGTAGCCACGGTGACCACTCTTATTGGGATGTGGCGGCAGCGAATTTCAAACACGCAATCGGCCTATCCTGCGAGCTGGTGGTGGAGCACGTCAACAGTTTCATACACTCAGGTTGGTGGTGTGCGTTTCCCTCTGTGACCTCGCGCGTTTCGTCTTCTTTAATCGTCTTCAAGCTAAGAGCAAAGCATGCTGGGAACTTTGCATTTCTAAGCTTTCATGTAAATATTCACTGAAAGATTTGACCCGTGGTGCATTAGCACAGTCAGGTGCGCTGTCACAGATCTGATGGACTGTTATTGTTTCTCTGGCGTATAATGTGCTTGTTCTCTGAAGTGAAATGGAGCAGAAGTGATACCGTGTTGTTCCACTGTCCTCCTCTTTAGTCAGATTAAACTGCACCCCCACCCTGTGTGCTCACAGGCTCTGTTGTGGTGTGTGTGTGTGTGTGTGCACGTGTGTGTGTTTCTGCCGTCACTTCCTGCAGATATTGGTTACGAGTCACTGATCAACCAGATGCTGAAGGACCTCTTCAAGCTGCTGGTGGCTTGCGTGTCTGAACCTGCAGAGACCATCTCCAGAGTGGGCTGTTCCTGCATCAGGTGACCACACATCTGGCAGTTACACACCTGTCGCCACAGTGAAATCAAGTGTGAAACCTCTTTTCAATTCAGGTTGTCTTTCTCTGTTTTGGGTGGATTGTTGGCTGAGTGAGCGCTTCAGTGGTGGACGCTCGTCCTAAACAAGGATGCCGTTTCTAAAAATGAGGTGCAGCTAGAAGAAAGGTGGACGATTCGTGGAACTATTTTTAAATCCTGGTAGAACTGCAACCACATAAGCTAGCGCAATCATTATATTGCATTTGGAACCAGATGAGTTGTACTTACATCACATGCATTCAGCTTGTCCCAGCTCGTGGTTTCCTTCCACATATGGCTCTGCGGATTATCGCATGTCCGCAATTACCATTGAAAACCGGAAGTGACGCCTTTTTTGTGGGAGATGTAGTTTCTATCAGGGCCTTTCAAAGGTTTCCTGGTGTTTTTCAAAGTCGTGTTTGACTTTATGCCTTTCTGTGTCGTTTCTGGGAGGCTTAGAACTTAAATTTCACTGTTGGAAATCATTTATTTTGAAGCACATGCTGTTTCTTTGCAAATTTTGCACAATAATGCAGCAGGCCAGTGTTTTTTAAATCCTGCCTCTACTCCTGTGACGATGTCTACACCGTCTCTGGGGCATGCCACCCTGTTTGTTTTGTTTTGTTAGGGCACTTTTGCACATGCAACACCTGCCATACACGAGACAACTGCTTTACATCACTGATACAGACTCACACACAGTTTTGTACGCTTTCCAAGGTTGTGTGAGGAAATCGATAGTGGCTCTTTTCTTCTCATTATTATTGTTTTTCATCTGTCAGTGTTCGAGCCGACTCTACTTTTATCTTCACATTTACTCAAATCCTCGAGGTTTCCATACTAATCACAAATATGACGTTTTTACAGACTCACACATTTGGACTTGTGTGAGTCTCTCTCGTTTTACGTCTTGATTACGCAGAAACAAACATAAAAGGTTTGCAAACTTTCAAGGACTGCATTAGACACTAAGACTTTGTTAGTTTTGCTACTCGAGCGGTTTATTCGCAGCAACAGAATTGTCAAATCAAACAATGTCAGGTGTGTTTTGTAGCACTTTAGAAATTGATTTAAAAGGTATAGCTTAGTTTATTTTCTGTGTGATCAGTCCACGGTTGTTCTGCGTCTCTCTCCAGGTACGTGTTGGTCACAGTGGGTCCAGTGTTCACAGAAGAAATGTGGAGGTTGGCCTGCTGCGCTCTGCAGGACGCGTTCTCTGCCACGTTAGAGCCGGTCAAGGTACGTGATGAAATGCAGATGTCAGGTGGTACAGCACCTGGATACAAGTGACCTGGACAGCCCGCTGCAGTAAACCACATAATCCATCCCCAGTTTGAAGCCGCTTGTCCAGACAGAAGTAATCTGAAAGCAGTTAATACCATCACAGTGCTGGGATTCCAATAACCCCATTTAACCTGCGGTGTGCATTATATACTCGCCATCACAGTCCTGCAGCTGTGAGCGATCACTCTTTGTCTCCTCGCAGCAGGAAGGAAACTGCTCTCCTTTCCTTTTTGGTGTCAACCATCCTTGACTGAGAGGTTCAGTTAGATATTATCTGTTTTTTGGATTCTGCAGCTCTTTTGTCTGAATTACCTCAAATGTAGTGTTTTATTTGGATCCGTCACTTGTAGCTGTTCTTCTTTATCAGTACTGCACAATGAGGCACCATTCAAACCACAAACGTTCCCAGCTTTCATGGATGAATATAGTCAGAACTGATTTCTTTCTAAATGTTCTTTTATTTTATTTTTAAGACTAATTTTACTTATAATTAGAATTAAGTACAGTGTGGCTTTTATGTGCAATATAAATCCTTTTTTTAAGCGTTGACTTCTGCGAACGAAACCTAATCCTTATCGATCTCATGCTGAGGCTCGGTGCAGCCCCTTGGTTCATCTTCTGTCTGAAATCAGCTGATTTAGCTTCCTTCCTCTTACCTTTAAGTCGTCTTTCTCCCGCGGGTGAGTGAGGCTGCTGCTCTCAGAGCCACAGCTTTGGACCTGAGCTCACCACATTAGTGATTTCTGTGCTTCTTTACACATCGAGCTGAGTGTGAGACTGGGTGTTTGGACCAGTCTAAACCTGAGGTTTTTGCTTTCAGTGATTACTCGTACCTGCACTGATCTTATTATTTGAAACGTTTAAATATCAGGTAGAAATATGACAGAGAATAATGGTTCCTTTTTAACAGTCTTTTCTGTTTCACTTTCTAATAATGCAACATGTCTCTGCTCGTTCTAGCTTCTATTATTTATACGAGTTCCCTTTGTTGGAACGATATGGCTTCTTTCACCTGCTCAGTAGGCGCTCCTTGAGTCATAGCAGTCCTGTTTGGTCTGTGTAGTCTACGTCATCTCTCCAAAAATAGCCAGTGCGCAAAACTAAACAGAAGAAGAATCGACTGAAAGCTGAATGCGAGCTCGATGTTTGTCTCACAATCGGTTTCCTCCTTTCGCTCGTTAAATGTTCTACCAGAACATGCAGTGGTCTGTTTGAGACGACCTGCCAGCCCGCTCAGCTTTAATGAAAAATTTGTGTTAATTTGTTGACGATGGTTCAGTACCTGCTGAGTGCATGTGTGAGCCTGCAGATTTAGAGCCTCAGCGGGGAGCCGACTCCTGCTGGTCCCTTTCACTTACCAAGGGAACCGCCGCTAACCCCGAGTGTGCGTGAGTGTTCGGCAGAGGTGACATGGACGAGCACTTTGTTATTGGATGTCGTGTTCCTGCAGTTCTGAGCCAGCTGCCTGCCTGACATCTGCTAAGCAGCTTTAAAGATTAGAGCCACATCTGTCTGTGTGTGCGTGCGAGCCTGTATTTATATCTTTGTGGATACTAAAAATGGAAATTTACTATATTTATGGGGACCAAAATCCTGGTCCCCAAAAGTTTTACAGGCATTTATGAGACTCAAAATGTGTTTTTAGTGACAGGGTTACAGTTAGGTCGTGGTTAGGTTAGGGTAAGGGGCTAAGGAAAGCATTATGTCATTTAGATGTCCCCAAAAGATATCAATACCCGATGTGTGTGTGTGTGTGTGTGTGTGTGTGTGTGTGTGTGTGTGTGTGTGTGTGTGTGTGTGTGTGTTAGTGTGTGTCAGTCAGGCTGAGATGGTGTGGAGTGGATATACTGGACGAAGGTTGTTGAATGTGCCAAACAGGAGGAAAAGAAAAAGTCATGAGGG